TCACTTTCCTATAAGGAAAAAGACTTAATTTCTCTTGATAACCATTATATCCAAAGCCTACAATCATGCTCAGTACATTGTTGTTATTAGGTGCTGTTGAGTTGATTTCAACTCATAGTGACCCCATGTGACTGAGTAGAACTACCCCATAGAATTTTCTAGGCTGTGATCTCTATGGGTACAGATCACCAGGTCTTTCTCCCATAGAGCCACAGTGTGGGTTCAACTTGCCAACCTTTTGGTTAGCAGCCAAGCACTAACTGTTGACACTCAAAATATGAATAAACGAATAGAAAAATACATAATTTTTTTTAACAAAGCACAGGCTCATGTTAGAATGACAAACAGGAGAGAAAATTTTGATGGAGAAAAGAAGTGGAGCAAAATTTGGAGCAAGGGCCTCTACATAAATGAATGAAATATTTAATGGACTATGCTAGGTTCCCAAATCTCAATATGAGAGAATTCCATTCTTTCAGGGGCATGAAATAGGTGTTGTCGATTACCAAAAATAAAACTACCTACTTTATAGTTTTGTCTATTTTGGGATCTTGTACCTTCAACAGAGGAGGAATCTAGAAATATTTACTGACACGACATTGTTGGCAAGGGGGTATCACATTTTTAAATACGGTGGGATTGGGGGCAGGAGGAGAAGCTTTCCTTCTCTTAAATTAAAAAGTCAAACTAAGATTATCTTATTCAAAAAAGCAGAAAAACTAGTGAATGCTTTTAATTTTATAATATTTTCTTTTCTATTTTAGGACATCAGAGACATGATATACTTGAAAGTACATATCAAAATATTTCAGTGTTAATTCAATTATTTCCTTCCTTTGAAAGTAAATTGACGTGTTAACTGTTCTGTTTTATTGATAGAATATCCAGATTGGAATCCAAAGGGGAAAACACCTCAGCGAATAGCATGTAATCCATTCTGCCTAGTTTTCATTCTTCTGAGAATATTTTTATAGGATTAATCATTTAATTGTCATTTTTATACAAAAGAAATTCCCAGATATGACTACAAGGAATAGTTTGTGGCCAAACATAACTTATCATTAGTTTAATTCTCTACTAAACTTTCCACTCTCTTGTCTGTTGCCTAAACTTAATGTCTTTTTTAAATTCAAAAGGCATTTTGTAGTGTGGAGGAAGGTTTAGCAATAGTCTTAAGGCTATTTTAAAACACTGCAATTACAGTATATATGTACCAAAAAGGAACCCTGGTGGTGCACTGGTTAAGCACTCAGCTGCTAACTAAAAGGTCAGTGGTTTGAATCTACCAGTGGCTCCACAGGAGAAAAGACCTGGCAATCTGCTCCTGTAAAGATTACATCCTAGGAAACACTATGGGGAAGTTCTATTCTATCCTATAGGGTCGATATGAGTTAGCATCGACCCAATGGCACACAACAACATATAACAAAAGAGTCTCATTCTCTAATTTTCTAATGAGAATAAATTGCCAGTTTAGTTACAGTAAACTTAATAAACTAAAGATATTTCAGATATTAGATATTTTCCTGATGTGCCAGTGGTTTCTTTTAAGAATATCATCAACATCATTCGAATTAAAATGTGATTTAGGAAAGTTTCAGGTGGAATTTAAGATTATATTTTATGGTCATAGTTAGTGGTTGGGGAAATTAATAAGAATGGATGAAGCTCAAAAAGGGAAATCAATTTATGTTTAAACCTTTGAAAATAAATGTATGTCCTGAAAATTAAAATCATGCTCTTTTAGATGAATATTTAAATATGTTCCCTATATAAAATAACAGGATACAGATGGTATACCTTTAAAAAAAAACCATTGCCGTTGAGTCAATTCCAATTCACAGCAACCCTATAGGACAGAGTAGAACTACCCCACAGGCTTTCCAAGGAGTAGCTAGTGAATTTGAACTGCTGAGCTTTGGGTTTGTAGCCGTAGCTCTTAACCACTGCACCACCAGGGCTCTGAAGACGCACAGGATTATCTGTAGTGTAGGTAACGGCATCTCTACAAATCAAAGAATGAGTAAACTCTGGCATTTCTTTTGTCTGAAGAAAAAAAAAAACACCAACAGATTCCTCAATTAATTCAGTTTTAAAAATCATTTATGCTGAATTGTTGACTCCTGTGAACTAAATTATCTGGATTTTTTTCTTCTCGACTAAGTCAACCACAAGGGTGTCAAGATCACTCAAATGGGGAAAAGAACAGTCTTTTCAACAAATGGTGCTGGGAGATCTGGATAGCCACATTCCAAAGAATGAAGTCAGACCCTTACCTGTATATACAAAACACAAAAATTAACTCAAAATGAATAAAGACCTAAATATGAAGAGTAAAATTATAAAATTCTTAGGAGAAAACATTAAGAGCAAACCTTCAGGATCTTGGATTTGACAGTGATTTTGTAAATATGACAACAAAAGCACAGGCAACAAAAGAAAAAATAAATTGGACTTCATTAAAATTAAAAACTTTCTCACATCAAATTATACACCAAGAAAGTGAAGAGACAACCCAAAGAATGGGAGAAAATATTTGCAAATTATATATCTGATAAGGGTTTAATATCCAGAATATATTAAGAACTATAACCCAATAACAAAAAGACAACCCAGTTAAAAAATGGGCAAAGGATTTGAATAGATATTTCTCCAGAGAAGATATACGAATGGCCAATAAGCACATGAAAGGATGCTCAACAACATTAGTCATTGGGGAAATGCAAACCTAAACCACAATGAGATACCACTTCACACCTACTAGAGTGGCAATAATCAGTAAAACGGAAAATAATGAGTCGGTAAGGATTTGAAGAAATTGGAACCTTCAACCATTGCTGGTTGGAATGTTAAATTGCGCAGCCACTGTGGAAAACAGTTTGGCAGTTCCTCAAAAAGTTACAGAATTACTAGATGATTAAGAAATTCCACTCGTAGGTATGTACCCAAAAGATTTGAAAAAAAGGACTCAGATACTTTTACGTCAATGTTCATCACGTCATTATTTGCAATAGTGAAAAGGCAGAAATAACCCAAGTGTCCATCAATAGATGAACGGATAAACAAAATATGGTATACTACAGTGGAATACTATTCCATAATTAAGGAATTCCATTTTTCAGCACTAACCACCTTCACCCCCTCAATAGGCTCTGTTGCTGTCATTGTTGTGTGCCATGGAGTCAATTTAGACTCATGATGACCCAATATGACAAAGTAGAACTGTCCCATAAGGTTTCCTAGGCTGTAAGAAGCCTGGTAGTGCAGTGGTTAAAGCGCTCAGCTGCTAACCACAGGGTTGGTAGTTCCAGCCCACCAACCGCTCCACGGAAAGATGTGGCAATCTGTTTCTGTAAAGATTACAGCCTCGGAAACCCTATGGGGCAGTTCTATTCTGTTCTGTAGGTTCGCTATGGAGCAGACCTTGGGTTTGAACCACTGACTTTTAGTTAGCAGGAAAGTGTTTAACAAAAACCCATTGCCATCAAGTCGGACTCATAGAGATCCTATAGGACAGAGTAGAACCGCTCCATAGGGTTTCCAAGGAGCGGCTGGTGGATTTGAACTGACGACCTTTTGGTTAGCAGCTGAGCTCTTAATCACTGTGTCACCATGGATCTGCAACAGGCTGTAGCCATACTTACATACCTCTCCTGGGGTGTATTACATGCTTTTCTCTGTTTCGAATGCTCTCTTCCACCTTTCTGCTTCACCTTCTTGATATCACATTCTCCAGAAAGGCTTCCCTGGTCATCCATAAGGAAGTTCGTTGCCCCATCCATGCTAAAATAACATTATGGCTTTGTATTTATCACATGGTATTAAAGATGCTTGTTTGTGAATTCTCTAAACTGTAAGTTCTTAAAAGTGGGGTCTGTGTTGTGTCCACTGGTATTTCTCAAACCCCTAACACAGTGTCTGCAATAAATACTTAATAAAGGAATGAATGGAACCATCTTGTGTAGTTCTACTGCTTTTCAACTGGGTGCATTTTAGGTACTTTTTAAGAACACACTTCTTTTTAGAGTTTTTTTTTTTTTTTTTTGCCAAGTTACAATGCTTTCTTTGTGGCAAAATTCTGCCCCAATGTCAACGATTTTGAATAACTGTTTAATGCTATAGAGCACAATGTTATATGTCAATGTGCAGTCCAGAATAAATATGTGCTTTGAATTTTGTGCCTAGAACTTAAATGCTTTAAAAGTTTTTCTTGAGCAACATGTTTACAGGTAAAGAGACCAGAACCAAAATCTGCTAGGACATTAGCCATTTTTGCCTGAAAGAAAGAAATGAAAACAAAAAATATGTTCTTTTCTACTACGAAAGCAATTTTTCAGAGGAGAATATGGATATTTTTATTCCAGGCTGTCTTGCATACTGCTGGTGAGAGAAGAAATAGAAATATTTTAACCTTCTGACGGTTAGATGATCCCCAGTCTAGCCCCCTAAAATCCTGAGCTTCTCACTCTTCCATTTATTTCATTGTTTTCCACAAAGGCTCATTAAAACAGAGAAAATATTAATTAATGAAGTCGGTCTTAACGAGGATATTCTTTTGCCCATGTGGAAAATAAAGGGCACAACTTGCATCAATTTCCCAATTCAACAGATAAGGAGGAGGAAAAAAAATAATATAATAATCATCAGTATTGCAGAACAATGATCATTTTCCCTTACATAATCAGAAGGCTCCTAAAACAAGTAAATTACTTATCAGTTAGCATTTATTCATAACTTATTAATGAACCATGTCACATCATGTGGTATCAGAAATCAAGGTTGGATAATATTTGGCTACGTTAATTTAGTGAAAAGCCTACATTCATTCAACTCAAGTCTCTCTGCAGGCTGTTCCACAGACACTCACTTTGAGCTTTCTCCGGCCGGCATTTGAGGCTTCCGCCCAACTATATCCTGGGAGGCGGAGCCGTGCACTACCCTGTAGATTGGCAAGTCACCGGGGCGTACCGGCGCATGCGCACTGGCCAGTCCGCGGCCGGTGGACCATGGAGTCCTCAAGGCGCTCCGGCACGAAGTGGCGCTGCCAGTTGCTCTCCCTGCTGCCATGGGTGTTTTGAAGCTGTGGCTCTGTGAGCTCTGGGTACTGCTGCTGGGTTCCGGTTTGAGCGCAAGATTTTTGCCACTCGAAGAGGACGTAGACTTTATCAATGAGTACGTGAGCCTCCACAATGAGCTCCGGGGCGACGTCACTCCCCGAGGGTCTAACTTGCGCTTCATGGTGAGCCGGGAAGGCGGTTGCCGGAACCTCCAACAACCCTTGTCATTCCGCTCCCCTCAGCCTCGGAAAGTTTGGGACATTGCTCTGGGCTTAAGGATCGTGGAGAACCTCCCTTTTAGTTGGGTTAAAAAAAAATGCACGTAAAATTTCTAAACTCGAGAAATAACCGCAGTCACTCTAATAACCTAATTACCATGATTTTGCATAGGACCGGGACTGAGGCACTCACTTCCGGTGAAAAATTTAAGGGGATGCCAAAAAATTGATCAAGAAAATAATATTTTAATGCAATATTATAAAAATAAAAATCAATGTAAAAAATATAAATGATGAGCAGAATATCAAAATTTTAAATAAAGACAGGATCCTTGGGCCTGGATTAGGTTGAGGGGAATGAGGCTTTCACTCTCAGGGTCGTGCAAGTACAGGGTCGAATCTGGTTTTTTAGTTAATATTTTGAATTTTTTTCATCATGGATGTTTCTGCATTAATTTTGACTTAATAATATATTGTATTAAAATATTATGTATCGTTATTACTGAGGTTTTTGGTGCTTCGCCACCCAAAATTTTGCTCCCGAGAGTGCACTTCAGGAACATCTCCCTAGCCTTGGCCTTGATTTTGCATTCCTTTACAGTATTGTTCTTGCTGCTTTGCCCATTTTCCCCACATATTTCTATTTAACAACTAATCAGCTGCTCCTTTGTCTTCATGATTGTCATTAAAAAATGACTAAAATTAATACAGTAAATAATCCCCTTACAAAGCAATTATGATACTGTAAGAAATATCTCCCTAGGCATACTGTCTTTTCATTCTTTTGGATTCGTTCCTTAGGAAAAATTCCAGAATTGGGATAATTAAATTAAGAGAGATGATTTTTTAAAACAATAATTCGATACGTAACAATTACTTTTCTAAAGGGTTGTGCCAAATTAAGCAAATACCAGCAATGTGTAAGTATTCCCTTTTCACCACACCTCGCTGGCTTGAGCATTTTCAATCCTTTGCTAAGTTAATAAATTATAAAATAGTACTTTGTTTTAATGTTAATTTTTTAAATGTTATTTTAATTGGATATTTTCTGTATTTGTATTGTTTAGTTCTTGTTCATTTTCTTTGCCTTTGTTTCTTGTCAACATTTTCTCTTGTTTATGTAAATTAATGTCTTAGGGAAATGTAGTACATTTAGTCCTATTTGCTGAAAGTACATTTTTCTTTTTGAAGTTCATTTTTTACCTTTGAATTCAATTATAGAATTTGGGGATATTTGAGAGCTTTACCTATATATTTTCTACCCATTGTGATTTGTTCTGTTTCTTCCAAGTTTGAAGATTAACCTTCATCCCATAAATTAATAAACGTGATTCTTTTTAATAACATTTGATAGGTTTCATATTTATAATCTCTAAAAATTATATAATATTTCAAACACATAGAAAAGTATAGAAAATAATGTAACAGATACCTGTATACACACCATCTGTATTTAAAAATATGACCATTTTTAAAGGAATAGTATTTTGAATACAGTTTAAAGTCCCACCCTAAACTTCCCTTTTTTCTATCAATTGAAATGTATTTTTCTTATATATGTTACTTTTACTGGTAACTATAAACAGTGTAATCTGTTGTAATAATATGGTCTACTTACAGCGTTTTCTTAACAGATTTGGCAATCACATGTTTTATTTTTATTCGTTATTCTTAAATATTTTAATATATATACAGTTCATTTTGCAAAGTCCAAAACCTCCTTCCAAATATTAAAAAAGATTTTAGAGCACTTACATTATGAATGTCTCCCTCCCATGTACATGCTGTTGTTGTCTAGTATGTT